TTAACCAGTGCTCAGCTGGACACTAATAGAAGTCACAAAACTGCCATATACTGCTGTTGAGAAAAGGTATTTAGCAGTTTATATTTACTAAAATAATTGCACTTCCATGTTCTGTGTACTGTGGGAAACCAGATATAGAGAATCCAGCGTCCTGGGTTTAGTAACACTTTAAAGCTGAACGTCAGGCAACCAAGGATGAAATACACACAAGGGCACTTTTTTACCTGCTAAAAGATTTGTATATCTGTCCATCCAGTCTTGAGATTTATACATCTCTGTCAGACAGCATACTCTAAAAAATGACATTACTGACTTTAAAACCACAGCAGTAAACCCAGAACTAAACATTCACATATTATATTGCAGTTTACCAATCCTTAGACGTGGCTTTATCAGTTTTCTTTTTTAGGATTTTTTCCCTGTTTTTTTTCATTTTGGATACAGTAAGGGAAGGCTAGAACCCGTCAGATTTTTTTTCACCATCTGTGTTGCGGAGATTTCCATTTCCATTTCTGTCCTATAGCCAAACAGGAAGGGAGGGGAAATCCCTGCAAATTAAGAGAATTTCTTGAGGACCCCCAAATCACCAGAACTAGAGTCCCCATTGGAAGATTCCCCCTCTATTACTTTTCTATTCTGGAGAAAACCCACATTTGGGATATTCTTTTACTTTCAATAATAATGGTAAACAGCACAAATAGAGAGGGTGAATCTTCTTATGGGGACACAGGCAGCAAAAAAAACTGACAGGGGTTCTAATTCCTCTGCACTCTATCCAAAACAAAAAAAATGGTTGTGCCGTTAGTTATACTTTAAACACATTAGCAGATCTGAATACACTAACAAATTGAATCCAGACTCTAGCTCATAGTTTATAATTAGTACAGGGAATACAAGAGGCTGACTTATAGTAAGGGGATTTTCAATGCACAATAGCATAGAAAAAAGAATCAAACTTTATTACAAATTTAAAAACATCATAAAAGATCATAAAGATACATCAATGCTAACTTTTCACCAGAATAGTGACTCATATCACATCATAGCTTGGAGATGGCATAGGTCCAACTCACATAGTCTTAGATAAGCATCATGGATCTACGCGTTTCACCATAAAATAGCCTCACAGGATCCAATGAAAATTGATGTAATTAAAGTGGTTGTAAAGGCTGAAGGTTTTGTACCTTTATGCATTCTAGGCATGAAGGTAAAAAACTTTCTGTGTGTGCAGCAGTACCCACAAATACTTACCTAAGTGATGTGAATGACAGCCTTGGCTATCCTGGGTTTTTGCCTCCTTATTGGCTGAGACAACAAGCGGGAACCATTGAGGGTGTGGGGCCAAGTCCCGGCTCCATGTGTGAATGGACACATGGAGCAGAGGGTGCCCCCATAGCAAGCTGCTCTGTGCAAAACCACTGCACATAGCAGACAAGTATAGACATGTTTGTTAGTAAAAAAAAGAAAGGACCTTTAGAATCGCTTTAAATATATATATAAAATAAGAAAAATAGAAAATTACATCAAACACTCAAATATTAAAATAAAATACATATGCTAGTATGTGTATGTATAAATGTGAGTTAGGGACCTTAGCTTGTACACCCCTTGAGGGTTAGGGACTGATGTGAATGTATAATATTTATGTAAAGCACTGTATAAATTGACGGTATAAAGTACCTGAAATAAATAAATAAATGTATTTTATTATTTTATGTATAGAGGTTCTCTATGTATTTTATTATTTGATGAATTGATGCCATTTTCTGTTTGTATTATAATATACAATTTATTTTTCTGTTTAGTTACATCAACTGTCATTGGAAGTTATTTTTATGGTGGAATACGTAGATCCATGATGCTTATCTCAGACTATGTGAGTTGGACCTATGACATCTTCAAGCTATGATGTGATATGCATCACTATTCTGGTGGAAAGTTAGCATTGATGTATCTGTATTATCTTTCATGATGTTTTTAAATTGTAATAAAGTTGATTGTTTTCATTGTTGTTTTCATTCGCTATCACGGTATTCCCTGTAAGTCACATTGAAAATCTCCTTACTATAAGTCTAAGTCTTTCTCTGCTCCCATCATTGGGATTTGCAGTAGAGAGTCGTATAAAATGTATTAAACTGGTATGGTGCCTTATGGAAAGTATATATGTTAGTTGGTACCAGCCCTGATCTAAAATGTAAATTACAAGAGTCTGATAGCAAGTCAAACTAAGTAACTACAGTAGATATAACAAGTCTACACACCCCTATTAAAATGTCAGGTTTCTGTGATGTAAAAAAATTAGACAAAAATAAATAATTTCAGAACTTTTTCCACCTTTAACATATCTTTTTGGAATTATGGCCAAAAAGTTCAACCTTGGTTTCATTAGACCATAACACATTTTCCCAGATGCTTTTGGGAGACTTCAGATGTGTGTTTTTGCAAAATGTAGCCAGGCTTGGATGTTATTCTTTGTAAAAGACTTCCATCTTGCCACTCTACCCCATAGCGAAGACATATGAAGAATACGGAGATTGTTGTCACATGTACCACACAGCCAGTACTTGCCAGATATTCCTGCAGCTCCTTTAATGTTGCTGTAGGCCTCTTCACAGCCTCCCAGACCAGTTTTCTTCTCGTCTTTTCATCAATTTTGGAGGTACTTCCAGTTCTAGGTAATGTCACTGTTGCGTCATATTTTCTCCACTTGATGATGACTCTTTTCATTGTGTTCCATGGCATATCTAATGCCTTGGAAATTCTTTTGTACCCTTCCCCTGACTGATACGTTTTAACAATGAGATCACTCTAATGCTTTGGAAGCTCTCTGCGGACCATGGCTTTTGTAGGATGCAACTAAGAAAATGTCAGGAAAGATCTACTAGAAATTAGGCAGGTGTGTACTGACTCCTATTTAACATGATTTTGAATGTGATTGCTTAATTCTGAACACGGCTACATCCCCAGTTATAAGAGGGTGTGCACACTTATGCAACCACATTATTTTACTTTTTTATGTTTACTCCCCCCTCCTAAAAGATTTCAGTTTTTTTCCAATTGAGTTGTAAGTTTATATGTTACAATACAAGTGGAAAAAGTTCTGAAATTATTTATCTTTGTCTCATTTTTTTACATCACAGAAACCTAACATTTTAACAGGGGTGTGTAGACTTTTTATATCCACTGTAAGTCTGGCAAAACACCAGTATTTTTTTTAGATTTAAATTTGCTTGACTTCTAATTGTTAGTGAGGTCAATTCAACATTTGCTTATGTCTGGCATGTTACATATACATAGAATTTTAAACATTATTATCATTACAACATCAAAAAGTTTAAACTCCTAAGAAAATAGGAACCAAGAAAATTGTCTCCAGTGGTAAGGCAAAGAGTACTTCAGCTGCCTAGTGAAATGTATTGAAATTAGCAACACATTAAAACTAGTCGTATGCATTGAATATAGGAGGTACTGTCCAAAGCAGTACTCAAAATTGTAATATGCGGTGGTCCATTTAAAAAGAGTCTCGATAAGGCTCATAAGAGCTGATCAAGGATCATAGGCACACTATGGACTTGTTCTTTCAGATGTTTGAACGTTTGTTTTCTACCATAGTGGAGCAGCATGGAGAATGTTTGCATCCTAAAAGGGAATTTCTAAAAGTGAATGTGGTTTTTGTTCAAGAAAGTCAATTTGCTCCAAAATCGATTGTTAAAAGCAAACTTTTTGAAGTGCTTTTGAATGGCATTTGCCAAGTCATAAAATGTATTGATGTGAATTTTTGTACAAATATTACATAGTTAGTCAGTTTAAAAAAAAGAAAGACTCAAGTCCACTGCATTTCAACCAAAAGAAAAAATATATAGATAGAAAACCTCCATATACACAATCCTATACCCCTAGTTGGTCAAGACAGAGGTTGAGGAAGGCAGAAAACCCTATAAAACATGCTCCAATTTGCTCCAGTAGGAAAACAATAAACTCCTTCATGATCCACCAGGAGGCAATTGGATATTCACTGGATCAACAACCAATATGGTCAGTCTATGGCCTATAGGCAGCTGCACACTAGTTTTTAATAATATATTTAATAATTACATAATTTTCATTTTTTTAACTGCTTAGTTTGGGTTTAAAGCAGAAATGCCTTGCAGACTAAAGCTGGCCATAGTTAGATTGAAATTGGTCCAGTTCAGCAGGGACCATTTAAATTTTAATCGATCTATGGCCATTCCTGTTCAAGAGGAGTCGATCTGAAGATCTAATGATCAACTCCTCTCAAACAGAACTGTTGGTATATTTTCATTTGATCAGCGCTGCAGCCAGTCAGTGTATTCTGACAGCTGAGGAGTCCCCGCTGCCAGAATACAATAGTACAACAGGGAAGATTCCTCCAAAAGATAAATTCAAACAAAAGTGCAGCCCTCATCAAAACAAAACTAATATCAGTCCAATATGTGTGTTTATAGTAGAATGTCCATGTAAACATACAGTAAATTGTAAATAAAATAATGTTAATATAGTGTAAAAAAACTCCTCCAGGTAAATAAAAGCAATACACTCAGTGCTCCCACACCAATACCCAGATCAAAGGCTTACCGGAATGGTATGAGCCTCAAACTGCGAAGCCATATAGTGATTGAATGTGATTGGCTCAAATCCTTGATTTTTGATATATGATGTTGCCACTTCACTCTGCCATATACAGTACATGTGCATGAAGAAATGAGAATGCTCCACATTGTATAAAATCCATGGTATCCAATGTTTAATAAAAGACAATGGTAGTATAAAATGGTATCTAAAAACATAGACAGCAATGTACAAATCAAAATTTGAGTCATCTAAGGCCAGCTTAACCACTTGCCCTCCAGAAGATTTACCCCCCTTCCTGACAAGGCCATTTCTTGCAATACGGTGCTGCGTTATTTTAACATGGGGGGCGATCAAAGGGTTAACTGTGTGCTGGGAGTGTTTTACTGGGGGGGGGGGGTCTGTGTTAGGGGTGGACTTACAACTCATTGGGCCCCTGGGCAACAGGGGATCATGGGGCCCCTGTGTCCTTGCCCAAACTCAAAAAAGCCTATGAAAAAGGTACCAGGGGCATCTCATGGGGCCCCCTACTGACCCCGGGCCCTCGGGCAGTACCTGAGTTTCCGAATGGTCAGTCCACCCCTGGTCTGCATGCTTCACTTTAATCACACTGCTCTGCATGGCTGTGCTGTGCACAGCCATCCAGAGCTGTGTGCTCGAGCTGACAGGGAGGAGGACTGTTAGTAAACAAAACAGTTCTCCTTGTTGAAGATGCTCGGCAATCACCAGGTGCCAGTGATTAATCACCGGCCAGGAACTGGTGATTAACAGCCTGGCCGCGAATGGCGCTGCAGGTAGGACGTGCGAGCCCCCTACCCGGAAATGCAAAATCACATATATATACGCCCTGTAGCAGTATATCTGCTACAGGAAGCGGGAAAGGGAAAGGTTAACTGATATTTGTGCAGTCATGCAATGCTACACCCAAATGAAATGTATGTCTATTTTCCTCCACAAATAGAGCTTTCTTTCAATGCTATCTGTGTTTTTTATTTTTTGCGCTATAAATAAAAAAAGACCAACAATTTTGAAAAAAAAAAAAAAAACATTTTTTACTTTTTGCTATAAAACATATCCAATAAAAAATGTAAAAATAAAATGTTTTCATAACTTTAAGCCAAAATGTATTCTGTTACATGTCTTTGCTAAAACAAAATACCAATGAGTGCATACTAATCGGCTTACCTGAAAGTTATAGCGTCTACAAATGACGGTATATATACTGGAATTTTTTTCTTTTTATATACTAGCAATGGCGGCAATCAGCGGCTCACAGCGGGTCTGCGGTGGGAATTCTGACACTGGGTGGGAACTAACTGCCACTGACATCCCCAGTGACACTAATACAGTGATCAGTGCTAATAAAAAGCAATGACACTGGGCTGGAAGGGGTTACTGTCTTGGGCTATCAAAGGATAACCGTGTGCTGTGTGCTGGTTTACTATGTGTGCTGTGTTGTGTTTAACATGGGAGACATGCTGCTTTGCATCTCTCTGATGTGCAGAGAGATAAAAAGCAGCATGTCCATGCTTATAGGAGAGAGATCCCCTCTCAGTCCTGCCAACGATCACCGAGTCCCAGCTGTGAATCGCCAGCCAGGACCCGGTGATTGACATATCCAGCAGCCAATACCGGCATGGGTAGGGCGGCGTGTGCAGCAGAGCCACCCTTTAGCAGTATACCTGCTATGGGGCAGCTCTTAAGTGGTTAAGACTTATCTCCACAGAATGCCCTCCACAGAATGCCCTCCACAGAATGACCTCCACAGAATGACCTCCACAGAAAGCCATGTTATCTCCCTTGACATGCAAATCTATGCGATCTGGAACACATCAGAACCACATCAGCTTTGTATCAGTGTAAACCAGGGCTTAAAGCTAAACTCCATCTTTTGTTCCACTTTACATTTACAGTTTATTTGGGCCAGCTATATCCCTTACTAACATCTGAGGCCACTGCATGGGCTGTATAAACTGCATGTAGTGTAGGCTACATACAGCACGCAGCACTGTTTTCTGGGCCGAGCCGTGACCCTTCTGTCTCAGACCTGGAACACAATAGAGTTGGCGGAGCAGCGACATATTCTATCATTGAATACAAAGCTTCCTCAGATTGGCTGAATCAGAGGTTGTGACAGAGTTGTTAGTGAGGGACATAGTTCCTTTGGGCCAGCTTGGCCCAAACAAACTATGTAAAGTGGAACAAAAGATGGAGTTCAGCTTTAAGGTCACAGATGGCTATGTACCTAGAAATAATGTTATCTCAATTTTTCTCGTGAAAGCTGAAGGAAAGATACTTTAAGGGAGAACCCTATATGTATAACAAATATAAAATAAAGTCTCTAAAGGATAACTGTAAGCAAGGGCCACATGCTCACTAAATCCAAAATTTGGCAGTGGATTGCCCTTAGGAAAATACACAGATAGGATAAAGAAGGTACGTGTGCTCCTCAATGTGGAAAAGTCCAGAATTTGATATTTTATTTTAAATTGTCTCGGAAAAAGCCAAAGTGTATTTTGGCACTGGTAAGTATTTTTATTTGATATATAGCTTGGGGTTCCTAATTGAATATGAGTGTGTAGCATTGACCATTCCACATTTGGTGCTTTTCTAAAATATATGTCCAGCTTATACGTGGATTGAGGCGCACCTCTCTGTGGTGCTAATTTACTGGAGATACAGTATATATCCATTTCCTGAGCAGGGACGTGTGTTCGATCTATATGCTCTTGGTTTTTTTCTCCTTAGGGGCTTTAGTTATGCTACTAGATATGTGTAAATACAACATGGTTTTGGGGGATATTATTTATCTTGACTTGGCATCCATTTGTTGGCTCTATTTGATTTGTTTAAAAATGTCTTTAGAAATTGGCGCTCTGGAATTGCTAATATGATGTTTACGAGTACCCATCTTTGGTCTCTGTCATATGCCTCCCATTTGTCTAGACCGAAGTGATTATATCCTCAGAGTCGTCATGTTGTTTTTGTAAGTGTTTTGGTTCATTCCTTTTTATTTCCCCCTCCCCCCTCTCCCCCTTTTTTTTGTGCTCGTTTTGTTTCCCTTATGGGCCAGCTGTGTAGCATTCATGACTTGTATCCATGTATGTACATTGTTCTTATATGTCTATTTTCTATCCATAGAGATTTTTAATACATTTGAGCGGAAAGGTCTGAAGAAGCGGTTGTTACCACGAAACGCGTAACTTTTCACCCTCAACAAGTGTAGATCAGTACGATTTCTGTAACATAATATGCTTTTATATTCTGTTTGAGTAAAAATTGTGATGTATTTTATATATCTATTTGTAATTTTGATTTCATTTGCCTATATATACACCGATAGGTCACCCTAGATGTCCCTGTTTTCTTCCTTCGTTTTTGTTTTCAGGATTTTTAAACCCTCCTTCAGGGCTCTATATATATAAAACTAAAATTAATCAAGATGTAATCTACAATAATATTTAAACACATTAAAAATACAACAAATAAGAATATATATATATATATTTATATATTATATATATATATATGTTGCACATGTTGCATAGTTACTTAGTTAGTCTGGCTGAAAAAAAACAATCCGGTTCAACCACTAAAAAAAAAAAAAAAAAAAAGTTATAATCCTATACCCACAGTTGATCCAGGGGAAGGCAAAAAACCAGCAAAATTAATTTTTTTCAATATAAACCAGCGCAAAACACAAACTACCTCACAACAATAAGTGAGCAATAATGGATAATAACCATTACATTTTGGTATAAGTGTCACACAAAAAATTAATTAATTATTAAAATAAATTTAAAGTCCAGTGATACATAAAATATTAAAAAAATCAAGTGACCCATACAAAAAGAAAAAAATCAGTGACACATAAAAAAAAAAAAAAAAAAGTCCAGTGCCCCAAAGAAACTTTTGACTGAGAATCTTCAATGCTTATAGTGATCCTTCCACCATCCACCAGTGCAAAAACCAACATGAACCGCACTCACCAGATAGTAGTGAGTATAACGCCTTCAGTGAGTAAAACGCCTTTCAGGATTATTTAGGGCTCCTGGACCCCCTTTAAGACCTCCACTATTTTCCACCTCAGAGATATGGATATTCCTTCAATTGTTCCCCTCGCCAACTCCACCAAGTTCCAGGAAGGAAAAAAGACTAATAGTGTGATACTGTTATACCTCTTACTTAAAATTTACTTTAAGCCAGACCACTCACATTTTAAAAGATAATAACCAGCATTTATTGTAGATAAAAAACGAAATTCCACAGATCTTATAGCAGGACCTCACAGCCTTGTTCACAACAGGATGACAGACTCCAAAGAAAAAACTTCCTCCACTAAGCAAAATGGCCGCTTCGAACACCGCTCGGCGTGCGTTCCACTCACCGGAAATTACGTAGGACGTTGGGACGACCAGCCGGAAGTACGTCAACGCGTTTCGCCCCACCCACAGGGCGTTCTCAAGACGTTCTCAAAAAAAACAACAAAGCATGATCCAATTTGCTCCTGCAGGGTAAAAAAAATTCCTTCCTGATCCCCCGAGATGCAATCGGATATTCCCTGGATTATGTCAATAGCACCTTTAGAAATATTTACCAAGAAATATGGTGACGTGTTCAATACTTATTTTACCAGATATATATATATATATATATATATATATATATATATATCCATTATAAAGTGCTAGGATAGGAGGGGAAAAACGCCAAAGAAGGCGTGGGAATTGAACAAGAAAAAGGCTAATAGTGTCACATTAATAAAATAACATATAAATTCAAAGAAAATTTGTTTGGTCTATTCCATAAAAGTATTTATCATTCATCATATATATATATATCATGCTGAGAATCACATGAATTAGTGGTGGTACATAGAATCGTATGTAATCAAAACCACATGATATAATAATTATATTGACAATTTTCTTGCATGGTAGTATATCAAATCATGCATGATTAACTTCAAATTACACATAAAAAGAGTAAATAAATAATAGTAACTACGAAAGAAAAAGTAAAAATAAACCTTATAGACTATATACACAAGCTTAACCATTGTTTGATAGTCAAAGGGTTTACGTGAAAAAGATGAAGAGTCTGCAATAACATTAGAAGCATGGGTAAGCTAAATAAAAACAACATCGCATTAGGTTAAGATGTTTGTTTACTTTGGTGGATAAGAATGTAGTAATCAAATGTGGATAAAAACGAAGCCATGTGATCTTGGAGTTACAGAATGTAATCAAGTGACACTACTGACTGAGGGAACAAATGAATGTGCCATGTAAGTCACTTGATTACATTTTGTAACTCCGCAATCGCATGGCTACATTTTATTTACTTATTTATTTATTTATTAAGAATCAGTCTTCTAAACCTTTTCAGGTAACATATAATGTATGACTATCAAGCATTGGTTGACCAAACCTTGCTCTATCCAAAAAAAAATGTTTTTAAGGCAAGTGTAGGTAACAAACATGTAAAGAAAAATTAACTATCTGAACCAAAACAGTTAATACAATAATTATCAATAGTTCAATACTGCATATAGTACTTTTTTTTTTACTTTGCACCAACAGTTTAT